GTGCCCGGCCGCCCCGGGGGAGGCCCCGGCGGCGGGCGGCGGCGGCGGCGGGGGGGGCTGCTTGGCGCCCGGCGGCTTGTCGCACTTGAAGCGCTTCTGGCGGCGCAGGTAGCAGCCGTTCTCGAACATGTTGCCCGAGTCCGGGTGCAGCGTCCAGAAGGAGCCCTTGCCGGGCTTGTCGGGCGAGCGCGGCACCTTGAGGAAGCAGTCGTTGAAGGAGAGCGAGTGGCGGATGGAGTTCTGCCAGCGCTGCTGGTTCTGCCGGTAGAAGGGGAAGAGGTCCATGATCCACTGGTAGATCTCGCTCAGCGTCAGCATCTTGTTGGGCGACTGCTGGATGGCCATGGTGATGAGCGAGATGTACGAGTAGGGCGGCTTGGCGTGCGTGTAGCTGCGCCGGTAGCTCTTGGCGTCGCGCGCGCGGGCCAGCCCGGCCGCCGCCTGCCCGTAGGCGCCGCCGCCGCCGCCGCCGCCGCCCACGGGGCTCAGGGCCGAGTAGGCGCCCAGCGCGCCGCCCATGGCGCCGGCCTGGCCGCCCAGCGGGCTCAGGCTGGGGCTCAGGTGGGCCGCCATGCCGGCCATGGCGCCCGCGCCCGGCGAGAGGCTCATGCCGCCCGGCCCGGCCGCGTAGGGCATGCCCATGGAGCCGCCGGATGCCGCCACCGCCGTCATGTTGCCCGCGGTGCCCATGGCGGGCATGCCCATGTAGCCGTTCATGCCCAGCCCGGCCGCGTTCATGGTGGAGTAGCCCTGCAGAGGCGACAAGAGGAGGGAGCGCGCGGTTAGTGGCGGCACGTGCCCCCGTCCGAGCCCCGCCGCGGGCACGCCGCGCCGGCCCGCAGCCGCCTCCCGCCGAGCCGCGCTCGCCCACGGGCAGCGCCCGGGTAGAGGCGCCCCAGGTTGCTCGGGGCTCGGTCTGCGTGCCCGCGGCCCCGGGCCTTCGCCGGGCTGGTGAAGCGGCCCCTCCGGCTGGAGGAGAGGTCCCGCGGAACCCGGTGAGAACACCGCCACGGGGATCGGGTGCGGCCGATATAACCGAGCGGCAAAGGGGCTGGGTGGGTGATCGTGCCTTGGGGGTTATAGGAAACAGCCCCACTGAAACAGCTCCCCTTGGGGGGAAAAAAAGCAGAAAAGAAAGGGGGAGAACGTGTGGTGCGTGGCGACCCACTAGTGTGCCGGCGATCGCAGTCCAAGCCTCCGATAGCACTCGTATTCCTCGGAACGTGGCTGATTTCCGTGATTCTAAATCTGCTCACTTTCAGCAGACTTCGCCCAAGGATAGTGCTTGGTGCTTCGATGGAAGGAAGGGAGGAACCCGCCCGGAGCTCGCCAGCTGCGGAGGGGGTCGGGTTGAAACCTAAATTCCCTTTCGCCCCAACCGAGTCACTCCCGAGCCAACCCTAAACGGGTTTACCAGAAAGCGAGGCGAAAGCCCGAGAGCGCTCCGCACAGTCCTGGCACTGCTTACTCGGGAGTAAGTGCCGTTGCAACGAGGGCTTCCTTGGTGATACTCGTGCCTACGATTTGCATCCGAGTGATGACCCGAATCACCCGGGCAGGGGCGTTCTGCCTGGAAGCGCTTCCCTGCACCTCAGCGCGCTTTGCTGCCCAAGGAACGCGCGTGCGTTCCTTCTCGGTGGTAGCCCGTCAGCAGACGGATCTACAAAATGATTTCCCGGAAAGTTTGGCTTCGCTTTTCGAATTCGGTGGATTCGCTCTCAATTCTAAGGCTAGTCCGTTTTCTCTCGAGTGATGCACCTGACCTCGCTGCAACATTACTTCTGCACGGACGAGGGACTGCGGCCGAATCACTGCCGCCGGAGCCGTACCCCGGCGTGAATGAGCGCCCCGGGAAATCGGCGTGGCTCTGGATTCCGCGGAGTTGCTGGAAATGGTCAGGGAGGTCCAGGGGGGACCGCGAGGTGCGCTTCGGATCGCGGATCCGGAAGGGCCACTCCATGTCCCGGGGCGCGCGGGGGAGGCGCGCAACGCCGCCGGAGGGGCGCGTTCTGCGGCCGGGGGTGCTCGGCTCTGGACTCATCGCCCCTCGACTCCGAGCCTCCGCAGGGCGGGATTTCGAGCAGCAACTGTCGCCCCTCGACCCTCGTTCCTTCTAGCTCCCCCCACAGACGCCCTTCCTCGCCCCCCCACCCCCAACCTCTCCCTGCCAAACACAACTTTGTTAGGATAGCGCGGCTAGGCATGGCAAAAGGATTTGGAGGCTTCGCAAGTCAATATTTGATCACAAAGTTAATATTATCTCAAGGCTAACACAGTGTTGTATAAAAAGAGGGCGAGCGAGCGAGCGAGCGAGCGAGTCCTGTTTTTTAGCGGAAGGAGGCGGCTTGGGGATTGGGTGGGGGACCCGCACACAAACAGGCGCGCGCAGAGCCGGGGACGCCGAGAGAGAGACGCGCACGCGAACAGGCAGAAGTGGGCATTTACCTCCGGCTCGCCGTAGTAGTTGCTCCACTCCGTGGGTTCGTGTCCTTCCATTTTCACGACTCCCAGCATACTGGAAGCGGAGTGCATGGCAGTTTAAAATTTAACAGCCCCAACAAGCGACGACAGAGGGGGAGAGAGAGAGAGAGCGAGGGAGAGGGAGAGAGGAAGAGAGAGCCACCAAAAAAAGGGGGGAACACCCCCGCTCCGTAGCCCTCCCTCCTTGCCTCGCGCGCTCTTCCCCTCCCTCCTGCTTCCCCTCCCCCTCTGTGTGGTGGGGAGGGGGAGGAAGGGGAGGGGAGGGGAGAGGAGGGGGCTCCGCTTTGCTCTGGGTTTGTCCCAGCTTGCGATTGCTGCAGCCACAACTGCTTGGGTGGGTTTTGCAGAGAAAAGTCGCCCGGAGGCGAAGGCGAGGCGGAGGAGGAGGAGGAGGAGGAGGAAGCGAAGTGGTGCAGTGACGTGGGCGCCCGCGTGCGAGCGCAGCCAGCGGCCAGGCGAGCTCCAATCCCCAGGGCGCTGGCAGGCGATTTGAATACGCGGCTCCGCGGAGGGTTCCTCTCTGCAAGTCCCCGCCGCCCCTGCCTCGGCCTTGCGCAGCTCCTTGCGCATCCCGGACGGGGGTGCCCGCCGCGCTCCGCGCTCGCGAAAGGGGCACGGGCGGGCGCCTGGAGGCTGCCCACGGACCTGGGGAGGACGCCCATGGCGTGACCTTTCCCGCTCTTGACCTGCAGCGTCCCCCCCCCACCCCCAGAAGATAGGGCTGCTGTGCTTGATCTCTGCATCCACCCCCTCCCTCAGGCATTGCGTGTTTAAGGCAAGCCTGTGTCCACGCGTGCAAACAAACACATGTGCGACCCAGTCACGCGCGGCGCCTGAACTCGCATTCCTTTCCCTGGGAGATTTGAACAGCACCTTCGTGGGGTGCTCCGATGAACTGGCGCTGGAAGTAAGGCCAGCGGAAGGACTTGGGGTCCAGTCACGCGCTGCTGCCGTTGAAATCAATGAGGCTCCAAGGCGCTTGGACGGCCACGGTCTTCAAACGCGAACCGACCCTTCGCGACGCGATTCAGCCAGAATGCTTTGATTTAAGAGAACTTCAAAGGGACTAGAAACCTGATCGAGATCAGGTTGGGTCGGGCACGATGAGACCCTGTCCCAAACCGTTTGCTTGGGTTGTCGCACGCTTAAGCGGGCTTCAACGCTGCGGGGGCGGTGCATGGACGGCGATTCCCACAGAACCTCCGGGACCCCCTCCGTTCACGCATCTTCGCGCACCTGCTGGCGCACCGTCCGCAGGCAATCTCCTCGGAAACAGGATGCGGGCTCGGCCTCCCTTCCGCGGGACAAGCCGCGCGAGGCCTCGCGTCGCCCCCGCTCTCCCGGCGATCAGGGGGCGCAAAGGCGTCGGGGCGCAGCCGCGGCCCGCTCGCCGCGCAGCCCAGGCGCGCCCGCCAGCCTCCGCCTGACCCGCCACGCTCCGTAACTAAAACAAACGCGCGTCGCGGTCGCCCACAGCTGGCCGGCCGCCGGCAACGTCCCAGGCAAGCCGCTGCAGATCTGGCGGGGCCTCCAGCGCCGGCACCCGGGGCAAGCGCGGGCGCGGGCGGGGAGAGGCCGGAACGCCCCGGCGGCGGCGGCGGCGCGGCGCTGCGGCTTAGCCGGCTCGGTCGCGCCCGCCGGCGGCGGCCTGTGAGCGCGGGCGAGGCTGGGCACGCTCCCGCCGTGGGCAGAGGCCGCCTCCCAGCCCGCCGAGCCCTGTGGGGCGGCTCGGCGGTGGCGCGCTGCTGCCACCTGGGCCCGGATCAGCGCAGCCCTCCGGCTGCCTCGCCGCGGAGGGTGCTTCCACACCCGCGCGTGCGGCGGGCTCTGGCTGCTGGGGAGCCCGGCGCAGGTGACTCGCCAGCCAGGGTCCTGTGGGACCCCACCGTGCCCCCCTGGGTGATGGCGACCCACAGCAGACAGACGGGAGGCACCCCACTCAGCTGCTCCCGTCCCACTGGCTTCCGCCCTCCTTTCCACCCCTTGCATTGAAAATCGAAGTCCGTCTCTGCGCCAGATCGTGCTCAGGGGACGCTTAAGGGCTGCGCTCCCGGACTGAGCTCACTCAGGCCTGGTTCTGCCTTCGGCGCGGAGCAGGACACGAGCTGCTCACAGGTGCACCTTCTTCCTTGCTCAGGGTTGGCTAAGTGCTGGCGCTGAGTCTTGCCCGGGCCCTGAGTGCAGCGGCATCGCCACTGATGAGGCAGCCTCCCCGTGTTTGGGACCACAACTCCCATCAGCCCTACCTGAGAGCCAGTGGCTGGGGCTGATAGCAGTTGTGGCCTCAGCTTCTCAGGAGGCACCAGGCTGGTGAAGGCTGGATGGAAAGAAAGCTAAGCTGAACCAGCCCTTCAGTCTTTGAGGGCTTCATTGTCATGGCAGGGCTTGTCGCTCTGCCTGTCCACAGAGATGCTCTCGACAGGTGAGCGCAAGAAGGCCCCTCTTCTCCGAAGTCATGCTTAGCTGGCCTTCAAAGCTCTTCACACATGCACTGAAGCTGATGTTCTTCACGCAGTAGTTCAGGAGACTGCCTCTCCTCGACACATGGCATCCCGCCTGCAGTGATGGCTGGTTGGACTCCAGCATCTGCTGGCTTAACTATCTGATATGAGACTGAAGGTCAAATCCATCTATTTATGATCTCGGAGGGATGCAGGAGGCATGTCAGGTGCTGTAGCAGAAGAGGGAAATTCAGGAATTCACAAAGCATGCCTGAATGCCCTGGGAGAGGGCCATTCCCTGAAGCTGAAGCTACTATTTTAAAGCCCACGGCCAAGAACATTTCTTATTAGTAGTTTCTTGTTCCTTGCAGTGAATCTAGCAGGAGGCAAGATCTGCCGTGCTAGTTCTGGGATGCAACCCAGCGACTACCCAGAAGGGAGAACGCGCCAAAGATGTGCAGCGGTCCAGCAAGCTTTAAGCGGACCAGCCCACCATGGATCGAGCACCATTCCTATCAGGGTTTCTTTGGCGTGCTTTCAACAACAGCAGCAGCAACAGCAACAGCAACAAACGAACCCGTGAAAACTGGACCAAGCTCCTGGCAGGATAACCGTCTCTTGCCCAAGACGGGGCTCCTTCCTCACCTCCACTCAATGGCACAGCACCATTGGGGGGGGGGGGGGGGGCAGGGAGCATGGCTGGCTCTGCAGCTGGAGCCACAAGGAACAGGGTCGTTCGGGAGAGGAAGCCCGTCTTTCTCTGCCATTGTTCAGACACAGCTGTTCCAGGCAAACAAAGCTCACGGCAGTGGGCCAGATTCCATTTCTCAGGAAAAGGAGAGGGCCCTATCCAGGTAGGCCCCACCTGAAACCTCTCTTTGGCGCTGGCTAGGAAGGGGATGGAGGCTGTCCAGTGCTCTGCCTAGGGCTGCGCCACCCTCTCCTTGTTAGAGTCCTACATGAACCAACCCCACAACTGAAGGGCACACCAGGAGCTCTTTGCTCGCTGTTGCAGGGCCCCCGATGCTGCACTCTCCAGCTGCTGGCCTCCTCGTGTGTTGGACTGCAGCACCCATCATTCCCAGTCAGCTTGGCCATGATGGCTGGGAATAGTGGGGGTTGGCATCCAACCCAACTGGAGGGTACCAGCTTGGGAAAAGGTGGGGCCAGATGGCTGGGGCTTCAGGCTGATCCTTGATTGTGAAGTGCCCACCACTGCCTGGCACCACGGTTGGCTCTTAGGTGCCAGGCAAGATCTGTTTTCTTCCCTTGGGATTTTGGTACTTCGTCTGGGCAGCGGGTTATCAGACAGTTGCTTCTGGTATTCTGGTTCAGTTGGTTAAACAACAGGCCTGCAGTTTCTATGACTTCTTTGGTCAGTTTTGCCGAATGCAGATATCTCATTTTGTATTTTTCCGATGCCTTCTCTTGGGGCAAGCTGCCCCCTTGACAGATTTGCAAAAAGACGGCGCACAAGCCTTCTCTCAGTCTAGTCAATGATCTTGCATCAGCTTCAATTAAAAGTTGGGATGTTTTTGTTGTCAGGATGGGCATTTCTTTTGCAGAGCAGGTGCAGGATGGATCTATTAGTATTCAGACTCAAAAGCCCTTCCTTAAATGCATGTGAAGTTTCAAAGTGTGAGGGGGCACCTTGGATCTTCTTGGTGGAGAAAAGGGATTCCTGGCAAGGGTGAGAAAGAAAGCAATTGCCCCAGGAAATGTCAAGCCAAGCCTTCCTTTCTTGCTCAGGAAGTTCAGTCCTTCAGTGGCCCCAGGGATCCGCAGAGGTGCTAATCTCTGTTTTCTTTCCAGCAGCGACACGCAGAGAATGTGAGATCCACATCTTGCAGCATGGTATGACGTGCCCGCAAAGTGCTAAGAATCCATAATGGCTTTCTTGTACATGGCACCAGGGACTGATTAATCCTGTTAGAGCTTTGGATCCTTGTTAGTTTCCAATAAACACGCCGGGGTGAGGGCAAGGAGGGCTCAGTTCCTGCTTTCTAAAAGCTGCAGCCCCATAGAAGAGGGTGGAAATGGCACACTGATAGCAAGCCTTGAACTCCTCCTGAATCTTGGGAGAACAAAGGAATAGGTAACCATGGGATTAATATACAGAAACAACTAATGACGCTGGATTGTGGATTAGGCCGAATGAGCAAGGTGCTACCTCCATTAGTATTTATCTCCTCATGTCTGGCCAGCCAGCTTTCTTCTTTCCCCAGAGCTGCCACCAAAGGCTTTGGGAGTCCATGAATATCTTTGCAAATGCTTTAAATGCCATCAGTGAGTTTCCACTGAGTTTATCATCACTTGCAAACCCTATCGGTTACTTCTTTAAAAGTGGTGGAGAAATATTTCTAAAAACAGTGTCAATTTCAGAAAGAAATTGCAGATAGAAGGCTACCCTGATATTAAAATAGCATACCAGGAGCAAATAACTTGTAAAGAAATGGCTTGCTTCCCAGAGATCTCTTTCTATAACCTCCAAAGACTTGATCTGATACCATTCGCAAATACTTCTTTCTTCATATTTTCATCTCTTCACCCCTTTCTACAACTTTAAGCCAAAATAGGCTAGGGGGTTTTAGAGGGCCTTCGGAAGAAGGT